TTAAATGATTTTATTATTTTTGATATTTTAATATTTTTATATAATTTAATAATTGTTTTCATATGCAATTGAATACACATTAATTTGATATAATAAAATGTCAGATTAGAGTTTTTACATATCATAATATTTAGTAGCATTTAAATATGACAATTAACATCTTCATTTTTCTTTCAAAGTTTTAAGACAAAAACTAATACAATGTATTATAAAGTAATGAATACATAATTTTAATTAATGATATATTTTAATTATTGTAAAACAATTAATGAAGTAATATATGAATTTGTATTTAACAGGATTTTGATACTGAATTTCGTGAATATGTATACTCTTATGTTATCATTGTTTGGAAAAGTAAATTCAATGGTAATTCAATTAAATCTAATAACTAACGACAATAATATTTAATTAAATTAATTAAAATTGTATACATTTGCAGACAACAGACTTAACTAACATAAAGTATAATATAACATACAATAAGTATTTAGAGGAAAGTATAGCCGTTTCGACGGAAGTACACATTCGGTTCAAGAGAGCACCCGATGGACGCATTACTGGTATATTATTTTTATTATATATTTAATTAAAAGCAAATATTGTTTGTATTTATACGAATCTCACATAAAGACTACGATTATAACACTGAAGACATAACTAGTACTCTACACTCGCCATCGGTTTTGGTCGATCCCTACGCTTATCCCGCAATCAGAGAAAGTCTTCGAGTGAATCAAATTGAAGGTCGAAATGGGATTGAAGAGTAAGATTGTCGGATAGAATTTCAATTGATTTCAATATATTATTGTTGAACAACTTTTTAGATACAGTACTACCGAAGCGATCACTTCCACAGAAATATATATCTGGGAGGACGAGGACGGGTCTGAAGACTACGAAACCACTACAACACTAGTCATCGATTTGAACGGCAATAGTACTGTTAATTACACGACAACTGAACGGATGATTAGTTCCAACACTTGGACGCCTACGGAGACGACGACAGCTCAACACAGACCCACTCCTCGGACACGACCCGTACGGAGACGAACGACTCCAATGACAACTACAGAACAATGGAAGGGAACCGTTGTTAGTGTCAACACTTCGTGGTCTGCGGAGACAACAATCAGTCAGAAAATGAGTCCCGAAGCGTATCGATTGAGTTTAGAGCAGGACTGCAACGATCGACACAAATATAATGTCACCGAAGAAGACGTCAACAATTTGAATGAGACGGACAAAGACAAACTCCGCAAACTCTGTTGGGAGACTATGTTTGGTCAAGAATTGGTTAAATTAACGGTTATGGATATTGTCCTCACTGTTATCTCCATATTAATCGGCGACTTCTTGAGGGCTCTTATAGTCAGGTAATTAATGGTTGAATAAATGTTATGTTTTTAAATATCGATTTCATCGCAAAGGTATTGTAACGACTGCTCGTGTTTTTTCTGGGATCTGGAAAAAAAGTTTCCCGGATATGGAGACTTCAAAATCGCTGAAAATATATTACATTTAGTCAACAATCAGGGAATGATTTGGTTTGTATTTTATTGATTGTTTGTTATTTACAATTAAATATAATATCTATCTATCATTCTTATAGGATGGGTATGTTTTTTTCGCCCGGATTACCGGCGCTGAATACGGTTAAACTATGTCTGTTAATGTATGTGAGATCGTGGGCTGTCCTCACATGCAATATACCTCACGAAACCGTGTTTAAGGTATTTTCTATTGAATGATCAATTGAAAAGATGCTAACATTAACTAATTTTATTTCCATTCAAAGGCCTCCCGAAGTAATAATTTTTATTTCGGTTTATTGTTGTTAATGCTATTTGTATGCACTCTACCGGTCGGCTATGCAGTGGTTTGGTTGGAGCCGAGTTGGCATTGCGGACCATTCAGGTAATAATCATATCATTTTTATTAATATTAACAATGAATTGGTTTGTATTTTAGCGGTTACAACAGAATCTATAACATTCTGACCAATTATGTTGAATCCAAACTCCCGGATACCATCAATAAAGTGGTCGATTATCTCACATCTCCGGGCGCTGTATTCCCANTGCCTAACTGCCACCGAAGAGTGACCGCCGGATGGTATGCCTCCATATTTCCAATCAAATCAAATATATTGGGGAAAACAATTCCAATGCCGGCGACGACAAGTGTCACCTCATTAGCCCTGAGCCACGAGGGGTTCTCTATGGGCTCCTGAGAGCGCTCCACAACGAGAACCACTCCATATATGGATGAGGCCAATAGCATCAAAACCCTTGCGTAGAAATATACATACGTTTGATAAACAATTTATTCGTCAAATTTTGTTTTTCAGAATTGAGATTTCAAAATACAAAAGCATTTCTCAAACATTTGAATTGAGTTTAAGGTTTAGAGTTTTAACTCACAATATGTTCGCCAATACTCTCAAAGCGATTCGTTTCCAATTTCTTTCGTCTTTTTTGCGCTCTTTCTCTTCAAGAATGGATTCTTTAAATCCCATTACAAGTGAAGCGACTTTATTATAAGCAGTTTCACTGTTGCCTATCATGTAATCCCAGCCTAACATAAATGAAAACATCTATTATGCAAAAACTTGAAAGACATATAAAAAAGTGTATGAATTTATATTAAAGAATAGAAAAGTGGAGATAAAGTTAAAGCAGAAAAGAGTAGAAAACCGGTGAAGAGTTTCCAACAAAAAGTCGATTCGTCGTCCTTTGAAGAGATGCGACTCATCCGCGCGTTTTGTGCCATTCTTTACACCAAACAAATTGTTAACAAAAAAACTCATTCAATATATAAAATCAATTGAATATTATGTTTACTTTCGGAGAACACAGAAAAAGCTGAACATATAGAGACAGAATGAGGTGAGAAAATAGGCCAGAGGTAGTCGATAACCTATGGATGACATTCATTGTGTTAATTAATTTATTGAATGCCATTAATATAACCTAAATATTGTCCATACCTTCAGAAGTCATTTCACTTTTGCTGTAATAGCCATAAAAAATGGGCGAATATTTGAGATAACCCTTAATGCAAAAGAATTGGTGTTAGGATTGACTTTAGAGAGTGTCTGACTTATAGTGACATTTGCATAATCCTGATCGATGACAGACATCACATCCACCACTACTACAATAGCATTGGTTACCTCAAAATCCCAGATGGCCTGAAGTTTAAGGCCTTCTTCTTTATCCTTAACTTCTTTCCTCATACCAGTCGAGTCGGGATCTCCTCGTAATATCTGAATGTATAAATAATAGTGTTTTAACTATTTATTGTAATGTTTGAGTATAAGAATAGAAATAGTTTATACCTCAGGAACCATTAGGAAACAACATATGAAAACACTAATAAATATGTTAACCCAAAACACCCAACGAAGAAATATAAAATACGAGGCGACACCTGAGCCGAAGTGGCCTTTCAATGAGAAAAATTAGAAATTCATATTTTTTAGCCATATTTTCGTATAAGAATTTTATTACAGAATATCAATCACTGCTAAGTAAAGAAAAGCTATTTCATGAAAAGACAAACAAAAGCTTTTATTTCCTTCAATGCATAAGGATTTGAATAATTTTTGTTTTATATGACTCTTTATATGACTATTGAATTTACTCTCTATTTTCTTGATCCTCATCTCCCAGGGAGTGATCACAACTATAAGGTTTGCAAATTCCCTTTTGAATCGATTGATTGTCTGCGAAGAGAGAGAAAAAACACATAAAAACAAAACATTTTTAGTCATCAGAGAGAAAAAGAAGAGAAGATGAGAGAAATGTATATAAAATACAATAATAAAATAGTAAACACTTTTTAAATATTAAAAAACTGTTAGAATTTGTTTATAAAAGAAATAAGAGATGAAATGAATAAATAATATTTTGATCAAAAAATAGATGTGAAGAGTTGTTGGAGGACTCACGCGGTCGACATAGACTCTGTAATTGGCGACCATATCCTTCGCCTGTTTGCTTTGCTTCAGCTCTACTTCATGTCTTTTGATGTAATGTTTGGCTCGACTCAGAACCTGAACAACAGTTTTTTGGTGTCAATTAGTAGTCGGCAAACATAAAAATGTTAATTAGTTTGTAATGATATTTACTTTTAATTTGCGATGCATTGGCCAGTGCTGTGACTTCATTGTCGATATTATCTGTTTATGAGCTCTAATTGTTTCGGAGATTTCCTCTTCGGTGAACGGATCGTCGCCCATAGAAATAGCGGTCTCTCTATGTTTTATATGTTGTTTTGTGTATAATTTGGCACATTTTAATCAATCAATTCAAATAAACATTACATTGTAACAAATGAAAGGCTAATGAGTTTTTAGATAAAATGTTTTAACAAATCAATTAAATGCAAAGTGAAAACAACTGTAAAAATAAGAGCTTAAGACACATATTATATTCTAATGGGAACTAAAACTTAAGATCAATATTAATGGAAATGAGTTAAAAATAAATGAGACGAAAGACTCACTCATTGGAAGAAGTCGTACAAAAAGAGGAAAGTCTTCGGCTATCAAATGCCATAACAATGGTGTCGTCGCCCAAAACGAAGGCCTGGGATCCTCTTCTTCCGCTTCTCGACGATCGCTTCGGTATTAATATATTACTGTCGGGCGGAAGGAGTGAACCCCTTCTCCTCTCAAACGGAGCTCTCACTGGTGTTTGACTTTTCGGAGATTCTGTCGCCGAATCTGTTCTCTCCTTTTTGGGCGACTCTTTGGGTGAATCCGATTTTTGTGAACTCTTTTCACTCATCTTTACTATTAATAGTAATTAATTAACAAAAGTATAAGTTTTTTATACAAATATATTCATAAAATATTAAAATTTTGTGTTGAAATTCTTTTGAATAACTGTTAATTAAAAGCCCAAATCATAAAATCAATAATCTTTGCCATCAAAGATTCAGTTGACAATAGAGTGAATGTATTTAACACTCTGTGGCGAAAGTATTACAGAGAATACTATCAATAAATATGTTTCAAACAAACATAAGAAGAGTATAAATTGAAATCAAATGCAAGAATTGCTGTCATAATCAGCAATAAGACAATATTGGCGTTTGTGTCAAACGAGCAAATGTTGTGTAAATTGGTTACAAATTTCACTGATTCTCGTAAATGAAAGAATTTTCCTACAAATTAAGGCTCAAAAACAATATTTAATGGTTTTTCATCCAAAATGGGTGGAGTAGTACTGAACAAGTTTTATGTCTACTTTTATTATTGTGTCTCTTAAAGACAGGTCATAACGTCTACGCCCTAATCGATATTCATATAACTAACCAAAACGTTGAACACTATTTGATTGTTATAATTAGTAATAATTTGTTATTGTTTTAAGAAAACAATGTTTAGTTAAGAGGTATTAGTTTTCTAAAAGCTTAACGAAAAGCGCTCTTTAAGACAGTTTGCTATTAAAATACGAGACGACTATTTAAATATAGGAATCAATTTAATTTATTTTTGTCTTCAATTCTATGTTTGAACAAAATATATTAACATTATTAAAACTTCAATAGTTAAAAATAGCATGTTTACTTTAATTACCAACATATGCTAGAAATTGCAATTTAATTCAATTATTTTAACATTTATTCCTAAATAACAGAATTGAATGTTTGGTTTATACAGTGAAACCAAGAGATGGCTTTACTTACAGCTTACTAACACATATATTATTTAATTCTTGTATTCTGTGATATGTAACCAAAAGTTTGATTTGTTACAAAAACTATAAAATTTTATCCAATGAATGTTACATAAATAAAAATATTAAATTTTAGTAATGTTAATTTAATTAAATTGTAATATAAATACACCTGATCCTCGATTTAGGGAGACTCGATATAAGGATAATTCGATTTAGGAGAGGGTTTTTTGCTGCACCGACCGCTCCTATGAGAGATTAACATTATGGCCCTCGATATAAGGAAAATTCGATTTAAGCAAAACTCGATATAAGAGACATACTTTACTACACCCACAGCACAGCTGCCCTCTATTTAAGCAAATTTTATTTCGAAAACAGTAAATGAAAACGAGTTTTGTTTAGAAGTGTTGATTAAAAGCAGTAAATAAAAACACGTTTTGCATAAAAGTGTAGATTATTTTCATAAAAACATTTTGCCCTAAAAATGGCTGACAAAAGGTCTCGAAATAGGTTTTCATTAGAGACTAAGTATAATGTGATTAAATTAGTTAACAAAAAGTGTCCAAATCAAGAGATAATTAAACAATTTAGTGCTAAAGGTCTCAAAATGTCAAACATTTATAAGTTATGTGCCCAAAGAGATACCATTATTAAAAAATTTATGTCAAACACTGATATGAGTTTTAAATAAATTAATAAATTAGAGAATGAAATCTATTCTAGTAGACAAAAGTGTTTAAAACAAACTAAAATTACTGATTATATGAATTAAATATAACTTTATCTAATAAAACACGAACTTAATCCTATATTTGCTGTTTTTAATTGAATTTATATGAGACTCGATATAAGGAGAATTCGATTTAAGAGACACATTTCTGTTTCACCAATCATTT